ATAGAGTCGAGTGGTAATCATCATGGAACTCTCATATGAACCAATGTACTTACCATGGCTGTGGGCACACAGTCTTTCTCATATGAAGTTTGATTATATTTGAAGTACATATAAATAGAGTTGGTAGGTTAGAGAATCTGACTAAACTATTTGACATCTAACGTTGTTGTAGCAATGTTGCAATTTGCTGATCCCCTGAAATCCCTATGTTGGGTACAAAGTTAAATAAAAATGGTCAAATCTACAAAACTTCACTTTCAATATTGCTATTACTGTCCACTTTATTAGGTACATAGCTTAAGTCTAATATATTCTGATACAGCCATTCTTTAGTAACCCGTATAATGCTCAGTTGATATTCACGCTGCGTGATGTGTTAATGAAATTATACAGTATGGTTTATCACTGAGGTCACAGTCAATGGTGTTATTGTACTGGACTACATTAAAATTACAGTTTCTAATACTCTGCTGTATTGTATGGCAATACATTGTACAGGTGGATCTAATAAAATGTGACATTAATTTTGATGCTTTGCTGCCTTATCTGCAATGAACTGACACAACAGTAACAGCTGGTAGCCTGTAACACACCAGCTGAGACCACATTTCAGTTGTTGCCAAATGATGCCAACTCCTGTTGCCTCCTCTCTGCCTGAAAATGGAAGATTAGACTTATTAATTTAATGTTGGATTGTCTCCTTCTTCAGTCTGCAGATATTGGAAGCTATTCAGGTTTTGGCTTCGTATTTGACACTGAAAATCGACTGAGCAGATTTCCCCTCCAAACGCTCACGTGCTTAGAGTAATTTGAAAACTTGAAATGACAAACAAAAAAAATTCAAACTTATCTTAGCACAAGCTCCACTTATTAGTTGTTTCCTTTTCCTTGACAAAACCCCGAATGAACATCAGAAACAGAATTTTGAATGCAGTTGAAAGATTGAGAAATAACCTAAAGTAAAGTGGACCCAGTGTTAAGATCTGATAACAGTGGATCGTGTTTCTCCTGCTCACTGTGATCACATATATGCTGTAGTATTTTAATACATGTTTTTACCTCCGCTGTCTATTTGTTTGTTTTTCAAATCACCGTTGTGCAAAAGTGACTCCTACAGATTAGAACTAACCTTGGTGGGAGGATGCGATGTGGGTCAGGCAAGACACTATTCATTTTTGGTTCAGATCTGGATCAGAGGGTGGATCCAGGATTTGTTTTGTTTGTTCAAATTGTGCAATATTGCATGTTTCAACGTTTTCCTTGATTTCTCAGACAATAATTCGTGGATCTTGATGAATAAAAAAGCAATGTTTAGGGAACGAATATGGAGTGTATGCAGTTTGGTGCAGATCCAAATAAAAATGTAGCAAATGTTGCTTTTTGCAGAGATATGCGCTCTCCTTTGTGCTATTCTAGTTATGTCTCTGTTGTCAGATGACGAAACAAGAATGACTTAGTGACTGAGATCCCCCTGCTGTCACAGTCCAGCCAAAAAGATAAAGAACAAAGGCAGAGCAAGAGAGACAGCCGATTATTATTAGAATGCAAGGCAAGAAAAGATCAAATGTAAAGATACCGTGATGAGAGATAGAGATTCAGATAAGTAGAAAGCAGGCTTCAGGTTCTTAAATGCTGATCAGAGCTGACACCAGCTGAGACCTCACCAGCGTGGGGGCCCGTGCTGCACACACACAGGTTGCTCACAGTGACAGGTGGAGGAGTTCAGGTCATTGCCGAGGCCTACTTGTCACTGGTCTGTTTGGAATTGACACCTGATTCCTGAATGATGTGTCTCTCTCTGTATGTGTGTGTATTGATAATTGGGTGTGTGTGTGTGTGTGTGTGTGTGTGTGAGAGAGAGAGAGAGAGATAGGAGCTGTCATGCAGCTGTCTTGTCTGTTCTGATCTCCACTAACCCTCGGTCAAACAACATGCCACTGTAATAGCAGCACATGTGCAGTCCAGAGAGCAGCCACATCAATCACATTCTCTTTGATTTCTTTATTCTTACAGGTTTTCAGGTTGCTCGATATCCCTTTTCATTTTTATGTTTTTTATGTTCCTTTTGCTTTTGTGTCTCGTTGTTGGCCTTTTGTTTGAGGAGGGCTTAAAAATATTTGAAATATACAGAATAGTTTGTTGATCAAAGTCGCTTTCTTGTGTTGCACAACCTCTACAATACAAATGTCAGCACCCTAGATAAGAAAACAACACTTTTAAAGACACAACTTATTATTTTTCATACTGATGATATCTGACCTAGTTAGGGAGCATAAAATCTTTCCTGTTCTGAGCAGGGGAGGAAATAATTTACTCTAGAGACCACTGAAGAGTGACTTGAGATTTTTTCAATGTCAGTTTAATTTCAAATGCAACAGGGTTTGACACACTGTGAGCATAAGTACTCTTTGCATGTTGTACCAATATCTCTACTTTATTTATATATATATTAAAAAAATCTGTAATCCAGAGATAATACAACATGAATAATGTTGTTTTTCACTCATCTGAAGCTACTTGGATGAGAAAACATATAAAAACGTTCCTTGTAAACCAAGGCCCAATGCTTTTATTGATGCATGATTAAGATTGATGTGAAATATTCTGTTCAATCTAGTACGACATCATGTAATCTAGATACAACCCATAATTCAGTTTCAGTGGGGGTTTTTGATTGTGCACCGGAGAGTTTTGTGTTGAACCTGTAGGAAGACCTTCATGATGACCAGATTAAAAGGCTCACTCCTTGTGTGCTGTTTGTTTCGGTATTAACAGACAGCCGTCTGTATTTCAGCTCAGTGAATGCTAACAGGCTAACATGATTCCCCCCTGACTGTTATGTGTTGCTTTGACAATGATCTCTCTACGCATTGTACTCTATAAACAGGTAACACATCCCTAGACAGCACACGTGCCGTGTTTCTTTGACGTCTCACATTTTGAAAGCAGCGATTCCCGTGCCCTGTTGCTTATTCAGCACATAGAAAGCACGATTCAGCTCTCGCTTATCAAATTACTTGTCAAATTCACAAAAGAGAGCTGTGAGAACGCTGTAGGACAGACTGATACGCAGCGCGCTGGCTTCTTCTTTAGTGTCGCTGGGGAGAGATGGTTGGCCTTAAAATAAACCACTTGGATTTTGAATGATGGAGGAATTATGAGTCATCATCATGAGCTACTGGTGAGAAGTATTTCGAACATTTGAAGTGATTCATCCCTCGCTGTGTATTCCACGAACGCATATGTTCAAACCAACACAATTACTGGAGTTTGTTTTTTATTCCTTTTAGACACAGACATTTCTCAACATTAACCTTTCTCACAGGATGAGCTGTTTGACTTTTGTCATGTTGGAGCTGGCTGCTGTATAACTTATGGAAAGTCAAATGGAATTGTTTGCACTGAACTTCTGGCTATTTGGCATGGTGGCACTAATGAGGGTGGAAAGAACTGGAGGCATCATTTCCTCATCAGCAGATGACAGCTCACGATGTGGATGCCGTTGCTGTGCATGTATGAATTGGTGTATGCGGGGACATGAATCTGCTGGCAATTATATCATGGACACCTGCCTTCCGTCCCCATGTTGTAAATCATTTCTGTATTTAGATTTTAGACTTTGTTGGTAAAGACCTGTTTTAAGGTTAGGGTAAGATTATAGGTTTAGGTTAAGGCAGGGGAGGTTAGAGCCTTTCTCAAGAAAATAATGAAGTTATGGAGACGTGTGTGTGTGTGTGTGTGTGTGTGTGTGTGTGTGTGTGTGTGTGTGTCAGTATGCTGTTTTTCTCCTTCTGTGTCATGCCCCCTGCTATCATGCACTGCTTTCTCCAAGACTGCATGTTTTCAGATCTAATGTAGCATGCCTGTGCATCTATGCGTGTAAATATGTGTGTGTGTGTGTGTTCTTTTGTGAAACGCTGTGTTTTTCTGTCCCTCTATGTTGGCTACAGCAAACTTCTATAGAAATCAGTGTGTTAGGTTTACTAAAGAAGCAGCTGACCACTTCATCTGTCAAACTAATCCACCAGCTACTTAAATGCTATTACAGCTGTCTTAAGTTCAATTATTTTTGCAGCCACAGCAAGAATACCACATTGCTTGAAGAAATGAAAATCAACTGAAACAGTGTAGTGTTTATCAGTTTAGATAAAGAATGGAAATACATAGTTTTTATATTTCAATATCAAAGAGTGATTAAATCTAAATATTTTATAAATCTATGAATCCATGTGCACAATACTGTAGCTGTATGTCATTCTGTATTTGTTCATGTTGGCGTAGGAGGAGTGAAAGTAAAACAACTAAAATGAAAAAAATAATAGTAATGATCAGAATAAATGTGTCAATTTTTCAGTACCTGCTATGATAAAAGTTTCCTGCTTTGCTTCCAGCAGCGCCCCTGCAATCAAATCAATGCATGACACTGGATGTGCGTGTTTGTGCGCGTGTGTACATGCATGCAGGTTTTTTGTGTCAGGGCTCTCACATACAGCCAACACACACTGACGGTACAACAGGGGGAAATTGTCACATGCTTCTGTTGAGTGGTCTGCTCTTAAAACTGCTGCTTCTTTTACAGCGTCCTCCTTTTTCTCTGCCTCAATGATCATTTACAGTTGTTGACATAATGTCTCTGATATGTGTAATTGATGCTACTGTGCAATATTTCAAAGAGGTTTATGTGTTTTGATCCTAAGAGGTTTATCCTCAGTTAAGTCTTCATTTTTAACAGAGAACTAACATTTTTTTTCATCATTTTTTGTCTTTTCTTGCTCCTTAACTGAATATATATACAGTAAATTCCTACTGTAAACATATGGACGTTGTGGTAATGTTTGCCCAGTCTTCTTGTCAGTTTGAACATTTTTCCAAAGAGAAAAAGGAGCAATAGACACATTGATTATTGACATACTTTCTTATCTTTTGAGAGCATCTTTTGAAGGCTGTGTGTATTCTTGATCACCATGTTTTCCTCAATCTTCTCCTTCTTGGTCCCATAGGTCCCCTTACAAAGAAACACACTGATGATTTAGGTGATAGTGACCGCACGGACGACGAAGGTATTTTTTCCCATGATGCCAAACTGATTTGCATGACAAGGGAATCCAAACTTACCCTTTCTCCTCCAATTTTTTTATCTTCTTTGATTTTCTTACATTTCTTGTCCTTTTTTGAAAGTGATGGGCATTTTCTTTTTGCTCTTTACTCGTAAAGTCTCTTTTTTGGCTGGATGTGTTTTGTCCTTTTCAGCTTGATGTCTAAAGTTTACATGTCTCCCACATTCTTTGATATTAATACCGTAATATACTGTAGATTCTCTGCTTGGATTTGCTGTTTCCTTTTACCTTTTCTTTCCTTTTCTATGTTGCATCCCACCAGCAGATCAAGTAACTATTAACCCCTCAGCCAGCTCTTAACACATTTTTTGCATGTTTTTCTTTTAATCCGTCTCGTTTATAAAATCAGATCATGTACAAAAGAAAAACCACTGGCTAACTGGCTTGCACCGACTAACACTTAGACCTGTTCATGTTTGGGGCGTCACATCAAACGATCTTTGCCTAAAACAACATGAACAAAATATTGGCCAACCTGAGAGTAAGCAGCTGTGTCAACCATGGTTACTGCAGAGACATTTGGGTTGTTAACGCTGCTGGCACAGAAATAATTACTACAAAGCAAAATGTGAAGCTAACTTTCTGGTCAGTGACTGTTGGACTCTCAACCGAAGTCTCAAACTGCCAAAGTAATTGTTTCATATCTACATAAAATGTGGACTGGCTAGTAAATTGCACAGATCTGGCAAAAATAACTTAGTCAACATTTTGATGGAGCTAAATTCAAGTGATATCACTCCAATTATGGCTCCAAGATCATCTGGACTCTCTATTTTTATGCTTTTAATGCATTTTCTATTACATGGTAATTGCGATGGTCCTCAATGCCATGATTTTTAAATTTTAAGGACTGCATACACAGCAGATTGCAATTTAATTTTCACGAGCATCTCTGAGCACCAGAGCTCCCCCAGAGGCAGAAATCATCTCAGTAGTCGAGTTATATCTCCAGAGAACCACAGTTTCTGTGAGTAACAGACTGGAGTCGAGAGGTAATCGAGGATGGAGGTGGTTTTATCACATCTGATCATGCTGGTCACAGGCAGCAAGGATGAATTTTTAAAGCGGACATAAGACTAACCCAGAAAGATTTGTTGTAAGGAAGGTTACTGCACCCTATAGTACAAGCTGCCTCAGAGTATTGGTACAGTGCAGAACAAATATACAGTAAAGCACATACCGTATGCAAGACGTGATAGTTGCATCATATACCTGTGCCCTGATTCAGTCAAAGTAAATGTTTGGAATGAAATCACATGGAAACACTGCATTATCGCTCCTGCACACATGGATTTCAATTCTACAAACTGGGGTCAAATGCAATTAAACTACATGAACAATCCTCACATACTTGTTTTGCATTTAAGGTATTTAATCTTTGATGAGCATTGGATACATAATGTCAAAAATTAATACTAAAGGGATCCAGTGATACCAGACAAACACTAAAGGACTGAAACGCTGCAAAAGCTTCTCTTGATATTTAAATTAGGCGCTGTTTGAAAGCTACGACAGCTTGCCAGAAATCCATTAATCTCAATAATAGAAAAGGACAGACCTTTCCTTAGTTGCCATAAACAAGCGGCTCTTTGAAAACTCATATTCGAAAAAAAATACATATTGGCGTTGATGAAACCCTGAGATAGAGCCGCATCCCCTTAAGGCTGCAGCAGTGCAACTTTAATGACAGGCAGAAAGTCTTAATAAGGCACCTCTACTGCATAATGTGACAAAATAAACAGCAATTACATCCAAATAAGACTCACAACCATCCAGATCCCTTTGATGTGCACCGTCATGCTGTTTTTCTGGGAGCGTTCACACACACACACACACACACACACACACACACACACACACACACACACACARACACACACACACCACACACCAATAAGATTAGAGAGAATCGTGCAGTTCACACTCACACAGATCTATTCAATGAAATCCTACAAAGCTTCGAGTATTATCTCGATAAAGGATGCAGGGCAGACAACTAATCCAGTTTAATATAGAGGAAAATGTGCTCGGGAATCAGTCACACTATCTGGGCTGTCTCTGATCAACTCAGGTCCCCCCTCACCCTCGGTTCTTGAAACTCTTACCCCTCGACCTCGTATTGCCTTGTCAACACAAGGACACCCCCTAACCTCCTCACCACTGCTGCCCAGCAAACCTCGAATTTTACAATCTCTTTATACTCACTAAAGCTGGTGTTTGTAATCCGTTTCAACTGGGAATAGAGATGTAAACAGGAAAGTCCCCGAGAGCTGGGGATTTGCTCGATTTTCAATTTTTTTTTTACAGCAAATATCGCTGGAGTGGTTAAGTGTGTGTATACAGAAGTGACAATGTCGTGAATTGTGGTATCTACAAGGCTCTCATGGGGCCCCTGGTACCCTGTATAAAGTATTATACAGCAATACCTGTGAGATATTAATCTTCCTATACGCTATGTATATTACTTTGAGGGCACAAGGACAGACATTTTGCTGACAGTGTGAGGACAATCCTGGAGCTGAGGAAAGGCTTATAAAAGATCAACCGGGGAATGTTTTACCTTGTTCCGTCAGGCTCTCCCACAGGCTCCTGCTGACGACATTTTAGCTGCAACCTCAAATTTGCATGAGCCACTATCGCATACAGTGGAAGTTAAAACATTTAATAGATGAAATGAAGCCATTCATACTTGACTGAAACAAGTTATAGCGTAAACATTGTTTTGTTACAGAGTGGCCTAATGCTTCAGATGGGATGATCTCATAAGTTAAGCTCCAACACTCTGTAGACTTAACCTTCCACGCTGACCCTAAAACCTGAGGCATTTTGCAATCTCACAATAATGAGTTTTGCGTCTTGTGCCACAGACGAAATTGATTGTAAATGTGGGAGAGTTGCAAGAAATCAATTGTCAGGAAAACAATCACAGCATTTGAACAATGAAAATGCACTAACATCAAAAATCTGTATTCGGATTATCGTACACAGCCCAACGGATAAGTGCAGAGAGTGACATCTGTACAGTTGGACTGATTATACCCACTGTGTGCTCCTTTTACCAAAAGGCTGAAGCCAGGATTTAGAAAAAAAGAAAAAACCACACACACCTCTGCTCCTTGTGTCTACAGCAGGTTTTGATAAGTCCTCTACACCGGCAGAGGGAGAGGATACCAAATTTGTTGCAACAGCCCGAGGGCATCTCTCAGGGTTTGCTCAGAGAAATCTAAAGCACCTGAATCTCTTTGATCACAACCTCATCCTGGAGGAAGCAACGATCTACTCCAGGCTGGCACGGCACCTATCCTCTCATCCACACTTATCCCCAGGAAGATTGAATGGTCGATTCACTACAAGATTGCATCTCATTTTAGCAATGCTCAAAGCAAGCTTTCATCAAGCTTTCATTGCTGCTTGCGAAGAAAAAAAAAATGTTTCCAAGCACCTTTACTGAAAACTGTAATCACTTTAAACAGAGGAACAAAAGGGCATATTGGCATTACGAGTAAATGCTAGATGTTCCTGAAATTACCTCAAATACACCATTACCTCACTGCACTGCACATAAGAGTGTGATGGGAGGAGATGAAGTCTGCAATCAGCTGAATGAGGATTAATTGATAAGTTAAGGGAATGGAGGCAGGGACTGGGCTTTAGAGGTTTTTTTTGGCTCTGAGTCTCGCAGTAGCAGCCAGCGAAGGATGCCAGCAAACCGCACCGAGAGCAAGACTTGGATTGCAGAAACTTAAAAACCTCAAGGTACAGTGTGTTCCGTGAATACACCACGGCTTGCTTCAGGCAGTAAATCAAGGTAAACTCAGGTAATTCCATCAAGTGCTCAAACATGGCCAAAAGAATTTTATCGCAACCTCACCTCATCATCACTGACCTCTAGCCCTAAACAACAAGGCATTGTGATGATGTACTGCAGCAAATGAGCAGCTGGGCAAGAAATGCATCACATATATTCATGTGATACTTTGGATCACAAAGACACATACAGGAGCAGTGTAATTTTACACAGGACCTTCATCAAACTTCCATATTGTGTTTGCTCTTAAAGGTTCAGTGTGTAAGATTTAGTGACCTCTAGTGGTGAAGTTGTATGTTGAAGCTGAACACCCCTCACCTCACCTCAGCTGAAACCCCCCCCCATGTAAATACAAAGTATTCAAATATAAAGGCTCATTCTAGGGTAAAGAAAATTTAGATGATCACACGATTAAAAACATCACTAGGATTATTTTATAAGATTTTTTTCTTTCACCTAAATCTTACACACTGTACCTTTAAGGAAAGTTCACTATTTCTATATGACTTGATTAGATCCCAGGGATCCCCCCCACCCATTATCACCATTATTTCTCTTCATCATTACCATGGTTCTTTGTTTAAATTGTATTCAACTCACTGGATGTCTTCATGATCAACACAATCACCTTTACTTATCTGGCTCTCATCTTTGGCATCCACTTCACAACCAGCATTGGTGCCTCGATGCCTTGGTCATCAGCATCTGCAGTTTTATGGTAATTAGTGGCTTTAATGGCTGATGTGAGCATTACCATTAGCATCATTATCAAACTATAGGATTTTATCAGCATCATCATTATCTCGATCCCTGTCATGGCTGTTGCAAATATCATCATCGTCTTAATGAGCATATCATGAACATTTTTAGCAACATTATCATCAGCGCCATATGTTATCATCGTCATCATCATCATTGGAAACACCACCATTATTCTTATTTTGGTTATCGCCATTATCGAGATTATCTTCACCACCATGGCACCTTGGGAAACATAAACTTTAGCGTTAACACTCTTATTAATGTCATAGTTGCCATCATCACGGTGGCTAGCACTGCCTTTGTCACTTGTCCCATTACTGTCATCATCATGGTTGTCTGCTGTCGTGCACATTATCATCCCAATTGTCGGCACGGATTTCATTATCATCATAGTCGTCATTGTTGTTGTCACCATCCTTACCAAAATACTATTCCTGACAATACCTACATCGACAACACTATCATGTGGCCACTGTCATCATATTGTCATGGCTGACATCATAATTGAAACCAAAAGGATCATCATAGACAATGTTCATCAATATCAACTTCATTATCATAATCATTATGGCCGTCATATTTGTCATGTCATTGACATCAACATGGTGGCTGTTGCCATCAACAACATGGATCTCATCATCATCATCATCTTCATCATGACCACAGCTACCACTGTCATGTATCCCATCACCACGGTCATACCAGTATTATCATCACATATATAATGATCATCACCATTACCCTTATTGTTCTTTGAAATCATTTGCTCCCTGTGTCCTTCCTCCTATCTTTTGTTAGGGAACACACACACACACACACACACACACACACATGCACACAAGCACACACACACTTGCCATAGTCCCATGACCTTTTTTGTCAGGAGTCTCTGGAAGCATTCCAGAGGAGACTTATGATGTGCTGCTACACTGTGGCTGTTGCTGCAACACAGGGAGCAGAGCAACTATGAGAACACTACACAGGACAGAGAGTGATACGAGTGATGTAATGAGAGAGAAACGGAGCAAAGGGCGCTCACATAGCATCCAGACAAACACACACATACACATACACACAAGGATAAAACACATCACCTTTATCTGCTGCATTTTTTTACCTCAATTTCTGTTGTCGACTGAGTTTTTTCTTTGGCTGTGACTATTTTACACTTACTGTTGGGAAGAAAAAAAAAAAAAAAATATATATATAACTAAATGAATGCAGTACTTTCATTTATAATATAATATATAATAAATGAAAGTACTGCATTAGTTATTATTTCTGTCATCATTGAAATCACATTGATGCACATTAGGGAGGTACATTTACACAATTGCAAAACTAATCCACCGTCACTTCAGTGAGCTGTTTGTATCATTATGTCCACTCCTGATTAGTCTGATTTGGATAACTACAAAAATACCGTGTGAGGAAACTTGTACTCCTATATTTAATATATTTCTTTTCTTTTTAATATATATTCTTACAACTCAGGGGTCGCACGTTTGTACTTTCTTGCATGGTAAATTTTATATTCCCCATTGACTCCCTGACGTCTCTCTGGACCCGAGTCCCTGAGTGGCAAAACATCAGTGGGATAAACGATGTGTGCTGCAGCACGTACTGATGGAGATAGTTAGGAAGCAAGATGAAACGCTCCATCTCTGGGATACAGAAGATGAAAGTGAAACCTTGTTTTGAACGCGGGTTGCAGCATGTTGTTAGATCTCCTCAAGTCTTCTCATCCTTTTAGCTCACAACCCAACCCATATTAGAACTACGTCATGGGCCAAAGCTTTACAATAGGGCCTGTCTTTCTTCTGCTCTAATCAATCGGATGTGACACAGTTTAATACAGATGATTCTGGTGCTAAAAGCAAGCTAAACATTTTGCTGACCCTAAATTTGACGACTGCAGCTACACATTGAAAAAAAAAGCACATCCCTTTGTTAGTAGAAATATACAATTTCAGTATGGCAACTCCTCTACCATAGCTTGTGTTTGTAATTATTGTGTAGTTGTGGAATGATGGAAGTGTAATTTTACAGCTGGATCCCTTGACATTATGAAATCTCTTTTAAATTATTTATAAAGACAAGTGTCCATTGCAGTTTTCACTTAGGTTCCCCTGGTGCCTAAATGTGTTTTATTCACAAAATCTAGACAAATAATTATCTGACAGCTAAACCACCATGACCTGAATTCAAATTATAATTTGAATAACACGCTGCTTTTTTAATAAAATTGTCAAAGTTAATATGGAATATTTATATTTAAATTAGATTTTCTTCCAGATTAATTGCACAAGTTTTACCTCAACATGGCATTGACAGTTTAGATTGCCACTCTTGCATGTTGACAGTCCATCACACGGAGGAAAATTAAAACTCGGCACGTTAAATATCCTGTTCCATTAAAACCTATATTGAATTTAAAATGGGTTAATAAATAAAGAAAACATTTTCCAAAAACATGTCACGGCCTTCATGTTGAAAAATTGATGGTTTGACGCCTCAAACTAACAAGAACCCCACATTAAAAAGCCAGTTTGCCAAGATTACTAAGAGAAAAAATATCTAAATATTTATATATAAAGAGGTGGCCAAAGCCCCCTAAAGTATTGAAATTGCATTTCTTCCTGTCACCTTCAATCTGCAACCTAATCAGTCCTTTTGCCTTCTCCACCTCCTCCTCTTCCTCCTCTTCCTTTCCCCTCCTTCAGACATTAGGGAGAGTGGAAGCCCAAAGCCGGTGATGGTTTTCATCCACGGGGGCTCCTACATGGAAGGAACTGGAAATATGTTTGACGGCAGCATCCTGGCCAGCTATGGGAACGTGATCGTCATAACTGTAAACTACCGGCTGGGCGTCCTAGGTAAGGATCCTGCTGTGAAGTGTGATGCACAACCATAGTTGTCATCAACCCCTTGTTTCTAACTTCTCTCTTTACTCCTTTCTTTCTGGGCGATTGCATTAGCTGCCATCTTTGTATAGATCTCTTTTGGTGTCACTGTTGGTTTATTTCCAGAGTGAAGCTTCGCCTGAGCTAACTCTTACTCAACTGCTTTTTCGTTTTTTTTGTGTTTCTCTTTCTTTTTTTCTCCCTCCTTCAACCCTTCTGTCTATCTTGGTGATTCTATGTGTGAACAACATTGTGATGTTCTCAAGAGCTTAGTAAAGCATTTAAGCTTAAGATGTATCTTTCTTTATTTCTAATGACGGATCGTTTCTCTTTTTGTTTGAACCACTGCTGGTTGTTAAATCGTAGCCTGAGCTGCTCACTTGGCTTTTCTGCTGTTTGCTTTTATAACTGGAATCTGCAGCTGATATCACTGCGTTCTGATCACAGCTCAATCATTTGTATGCAAATGCTGATTTGAATCATTGTGGGGTTTTTTTGGTTGTGATTTTTTCCCTTCCATTTTGTCATGGAGTAATATTAGGAAGCTTAAACAGACTCTTAATCTTTATTGTGTCATCTTTTCTTATAACTTTCATCGCCTGCTGGGCTGATTATGACATAACGCTGTTGATGATGATTTAAGCAGATGTTGTTTAAAGCTTGTGGTAATATTGCTTTTATTAAGCTTTTGAAAGCTTTTATTTCGACGAAACACAGAACGTTGTTGAGACTTAAAGCTAAATATTTGCTGGGCCTATGTTGAGGCAGAAGAGTTACTGTTATTTTATGCATTTAACCTTCCTGCCTGCTTTATTATATTTAGCAGCCTTTCATCCATCATCTCTCATATCCCCCAAACCCCTTTTATTTTTATTTCCAATCTGTTTTCATCTTATCTCTTCTTATTGGTCTAATTTCCCTAATTCTGTTTCTCCTGTCTATTAATGTCACTGCCTTACCCAGGGGGCAGGCATATATATACTGCGACACATGATGGAAACAAAGGTTCGCTGCTTCATTCCTAAATGAGATTATGCTGTCATTTGATTTGAATGAAAGGAACCAATTTTATATGCGTGTTGCTTTGGTTGCTGGGGATTTTCCTCCCCTTCTTATTAAACTACCAGAATAAAGATATAGGGCAATATCAGCCTTTCACTCAACTAAAATACCATTTATCTGGGGGCATGTGTGTGTGTGTGTACATATATTTGTCTGTGCGTATGCTGAATGAGCATCAAGGCCTGACGGTGATTCTTTGAGATGCTGATGGCAGAAACTGTATGTGAATCACAATGTTAATGATGGCAATGATGGCAGGTGGTCTGCTCATCATCTGTTATTCAAGCACTGATCTCTTTTAAATGACCTACTTGTTTGCACTGTAAATACTGCTATTGTACGGATTGGTTTTTATTTGTATAGGATCTGATGAAAGATTTTGATGTTAAACCTAGACGTGGCAGAAGCTGCCCAGCTGTGGAAGCATACTGAGCGATCGATCACGTCTCTTGAAAATATAAATGTCAGTGACTGGATGAACCCCCTCCACCCCTCCTCAGCAACCTTCAAGCCCTGCCAAAACCACAAAAGTGGATATTAAAGAAAGTACTCCATCATCTATATTTACTAATCACTCATTCCTTTTCAATACCCACTTATTTCCTTTCAGGGTCATGACAGGGCTGGAGGATATCCCAGCAAGCAGGACAAAAAGCACTGATACAGAGATGGTGATGCAGTGCTAACACTGACACATACGTTCACACTTACAGGCATTTTATCGAGCCCACGGTTCCAAATGTGCACATGCTCATTGCAGAGATTCACATTCACATGATAAAGTTAGAAGCTGTACACAGTGCTACGGACAGTAGTATTTGTTAATTGACAGAAAACGAAATCAATTACAATTTGAAAATATATCACTAAATCAACCAAAACATTTGCTTCTGTCAGCTGGTGTCAGCTCCTATTTTGTGACCATTTTTTTATGACTAATAAATAATGAAAATAAATGTTAGTTGCGCTCTTATAACCAGGCCAAAGTAAAACAGAGTTGAAAGCAGGATGAACTGTGGTTGAAACACCAATTTGAATTAGTCCAGCATATGTTAACAAAGCTTATCTTTCCTTTATGTATGATCACCACGTCACAAAATGCAGACAAAGACAGGATCAGTAACAGACAAACCAAACAAAGCAATATAACAATCACATTTTATATCTGATATTTCAAACATGGCAAGATATTAACTTTTCTTTCTCTCTCTCTCTCACACACTCACACACACACACACCCACACACTCTCTGATGTGCAAGTTCTTAATTGCTGCAGGCCTCATAGTGTTGAGGGAAACTGTATCCCTGCTGGTTAACATGAGGCGCCGCTGTTTGCTCTCAGATTAGACTATGTGTTTGTTTACCCCCCCGGCAATGGACAAGAGCATACGGCTTTACCTCACCAAACATGAGATTGTGTGTATGTGTGCGTTTGTGTGAGTGACAGCAAGGGAGCATATGCTGAGCAACAGTAGGTTCAGGACCCATAACCGCTGGGCTTTCCAGTGGGTTATCCTGTTTTTAGTCAGTTTATAAGGGAGTTCAGTTAGTAGCTCCACTGCTTGCCTACTAATCTACTAATTTAGTCTTGTGCTGAGTAAAGTAAAATAAACTTTCACTTATTTATTATCATAGTCAGTACTTATTTTGAGATCTTACCATTGACACAAAATCTATCAAAGTGTGTACTAAGGACTTTATTGTGCAACATATTATTAACCCTTGTATCCTTGGTGAGCGTGCAAGTTCTCTCAACATAAAGGATGGCACCAATGCTCGCCACATCTTGTGTTGTTTCAATATAAAATCAGTCAAGCTTGGAGATGTGGCACCTTCCCTCAAGGTACATACTGTATGTATTCAGCATAGCTTCTCAGGAATGTAGGCTTTGACTTTGTGCGTGCTGTGAATTCAAAGTGGGTGTTATAGGGGATCACTCAAAGCTGACCACATGCATCATTCACTAGTAGACATGAAAGTAGCCCGCTGGACCCTGCCTGATTGGCTCACATGAGAAAACCCTGTTAAGATTTAAATTCCCACTCCAGTAGCTTATTACTCCCCCACAACTACTCCTTGTTCCTCGTAATTACATAGAAGGTTTGTCATGAAAAAGTTCCCCTCATGGCCTGAAAACACCTAACTCCACACCTTCCTTCCTCATGTTGTACCTGGAATCTATGAATATGCTAATTTGACCCCACCCTTTCTCCCCTCCCCCAAAGCTCACCTTTAATTGAGGAGCGTCAGCTTCTGAGCCCCACCCACAACTTAACACGATTGGTTTCATACATTTTTGACATCACAAACCTAGACTGTTTGATCGCTTTTTTTTTTCAAACTGGCATTTGTTCACTGCAGTGTTAAGGTGGAAATGCTCAGTCATGGAGCTGAGGGCTTATTTCACACAAAATATGTCTTTTATTATAGAAAAAAGCACAAAGGGGACATGGTTTTCACCAGAGGGATACTTTAAGATCATGCAGGTACATTTACAAAATAAATGAATGTATTGAAGTGAGCCCTGTTCACAAGGAACCAAAAGATTTAAGATCAGACAGTGTGGAGTCTATTAACATATTTCCTCATTAATAACTTCCTACTGTCTCCCAAGCTCATAATTATGTTCTCCGGCCAGCTGGTTAGCCTCCACTGGTTAAAGTGTGTGGTTGACCTTACCCAGCCAGCCATTGCAGCACCTGTTCGCTTGGAGATGCTGCACTGCTGACAGGACTCCCTACTCCAGCGCCAGATATTTTTTCTCCTTAGCTTAGTGTGTGTGTGTGTGTAAGAGCGAGTGCTTTGCAGGAAGCCATTAGTGGCTTTAAATATGCAGAGTTGCTGACGCGAAGCTGTATTTATCGTTTAAGGGCCTTGGCTACAATGGATTTGGCCATGGGGCACGTATATAGTATGCTACTGTCAGTGTCTGTCCATGGGTGTGTGTGTGTGTGTGTGTGTGTGTGTGTGTGTTTAATGGGTAAGGAGTCCTCCCCCAGTGTGCAGATGGGGTGTTAATGGAACACATGGTATAACGCTGTCTAAATGTCATTATTAAGGGTAACTAGTATTTATTGTCTTTGTCATCTCACTGCTCCTTGGTTCATAATGGGACAATCTGCTGCGGGTTGGTTTTGTTTTACTTATCATTTATTAACTATGTATGAAACTAAGTACTCTATTGCCCATTACAGAAATCAGATTTCCAGACAAGTGCTACACGAAGTAGTGTGAGAAGAATCTGAGTATCGGTATATTCTCATGGAAAAGTTTTATCCTAAGCCCTTTCCTATCCTCAACTGTATCCTTTGTGAATACAACATAATAATGATTAATAGTGACAGTTGTGGAGGATGTGGAAGTGAGATTCAAATAGTTTTATATTAAATCTAAATAAGGATGGATTTACAGCTCCGAAAAAACACATAGTTGTGTTCTTACAAGCACAAAGACACAAACTTTGAATGAAACTGCCAATGCATGAATCCAAAACCTCTCCGGGGCTTGTTTGTTGTCCTTCCAAACAGTGGACTGTGCCTTTAAGGCCAGGCCCTCACAGTGTTGAGTTTGTTTCGGCCCAGCCAAAACCTTTAATCATGCTGATTGATGAGGTGCATTTCCCTGACTCAAACCTTCTCCAAATAACCCTTCCATTCCACCCATACATCAGCCATTCAGCCAATTCATCAAGCCTCTGATTGTTTTAAGATATACCTGGCCAGTAAAATATCCATTTCTCTGCACGGCACAGCTTCTCTAACTCTGCCCAGTGTTCAGCACCACGATCACATCTAAAAACTCCTTGCTCGAGAAAAGACCATGTAGGGAAAAGAACCCAAAAGCTGAGGGAGTGTACCAGATAGATCTATTGGTTTCTCTGAAAAAGGAAAAAAGCCCTGATTGAGCTGTT